AGTTTCTCTTTAAAAATAAAAAAGAGTAAATCCTGAGTTCTCATTTAAAAAGAAAAAGAAAATATGTTTCTGTTACTTAAGCTACCCAGTCTAAGGTATTTTGTTATGGCATCCTGAGCTAAGACACTTACTATGTTCAAAGAAATGAAAGTCAATATGGAAATTTTTAAGAGAACTAGAAATGATAAAAATGATATAGCAGATTTGAAGAAAATAGAAATTCTAGAATTTAAAAATACAGAAGTCAACATGAGAAACTCAATGAATAGATTTAAGAACAGGATATATACAGCTGAAGAGAAAATTCATAAATTAAAAGATCAGAATAATTTATCTAGAAAGAATCACAGAGACAAAGAATTGGAAACTACAGAAGAAAAGGATAGATGTAGTATAACTTAATCCTTAGGAAGCGACAAAAGGATAGTAGGCATGGACAATTGATTCAAGAAATCTGACTTCTAAGAGAAGAAATGTGTTGGGAAATCATATGAAATATGAATTTTCTAAAACCAATGAAAGGGTCAATGTTTAAGAAGGCTTCTTAACCCCAAGTAGACAAAATAAAAAGAAATCTATACCTAGATGCATTTTAATATGACTACTGAAAACAAAAGAAAAGAAAAATCTTAAAACTGTTGAGAGAGAAAAGATGAATTACCTTTGTAAGAGCAATAATTAAGCTGAGAATTGACTTCTTACCAGAAACAAAGCCAGAAAATACTGGAATGATATATTCAATATGCTTAAATAGTATAATAAAACAGGATTCTATACCTTTCAAAAATATCCTTGAGAATGACAATAAAAGACATTTTCAGATAAATGAAACAGAAAATTAGTCACTAGGAGATTTGCCCTACAATAAATCACTAAAGGGTGTTCTTCAAGCAGAAGGAAAATTATCCCAGTTGGAAGGTTGGAGATAAATGAAGGATCAACATGTGGATAAATATTTATTGGTGGCATATAACATAATCAGAAGAAACAGCAACAATAGCAGCAGTACAGTTATACAACAACAATAGTATGTAAGTCAGAAAGGGCATAGATGGGTTAAATTGTTCCAAGGCACTTGCATTGTCTAGGAAGAGGATAAAAGTATCACCTAACATTACAGTTGATAACTCAGGAAACATTTTGTATCCCTTAGGGTAAATCCTAAAGGATAGTGAAAAGATGTATGACATCTAAACTAATAAAAGAAAATGAAATAAATAAAAAACACTCAATACAAAAGGAGGACAGAAGGAGAGAAAAAGGAAACAGAACCAATAGAAAGCACTGAATAAAATGGTAGGTGTTTATCATTGATTCATCATTTAATTACATTAAATGTAAATAGACTAACTGCTCAAAGTCAAGTCAGAATTTGTCAGACTGAATTTAAAAAATAACTCAATTGTATGCCGTTTATGTGTAAGATCTAAATATGCAGAATGGTTACAAGTTAAAGGAAAGTAAAAGACACCATGAAAACACCATCCACAGGAAAGCTGATGTTAACTATATTAATGACAAACAAAGAAGACTTTAAGCCAGAAAGCACTTACTAGAGCAAAAGAGGGACACTTCATAAAGATAAAGGTTTAATTCATTGGGAAGGTATAATGAGTCACAATTTGAATATATCTAATAACATAGCCTCAACCTATATGAAGCAAAGGTTAAGAGAGCTGCAAGGAGAAATAGAAAAATCCGTAATAATGCTGGGAATTTTAATCTCTATCAGGAACTGATATGGCAAGCAGAGGAAAAAAACTAAAAAATAGAAGATTTGAGACACATAGTTAAGAAACTTCACCTGATAGACATTTATAGAATATTATACCCAACAACTCCAGGATGCAAATTATTTTCAAGCACACAGAGAACATTTGCAAAAACTGACTAAAGCAAGTGTCAACTATTTCAAAGTTGAAATCATGGCAAAGTGTGTTCTCTGATAAAAATGTAATGAAACTAGAAATCAATGACAAGATAATTCTAATTTGTTTGGAAATTAGGAAATTCAGGTGTAAATAATCTGTTCATCAAAGAAAATACCAGAATAGAAACTTGAAAATATTTTGAACTGAAAAATGACCAAAATGCTACATATGTATCCAACATGTAAAATGGGACTGATGTGGTGCTTAGATGGAAATTTGTAGGCTTAAAGGCATTTATTAGAAGAGAAAAGGTGTAAGTAAGACTAAGTATCCTTTTCCAGAATTTAGAAAAAGAATGGCAAATTAGATGCAAAAAAAGTAAAAGGAAGGAAACAAAAGTAACAGGAATTAATAAAACAAAATAGACATGTCTTCTGATTCTAAGTAGATACAGTAGGTAGCTTCAAGAAATAGAGAAAGTTATGGATATATTGTAAATGTAACCTTTCAGAGACAGTGAAGAGCTCTGGCAATAAAGGGGAACTTGATGAACTAAAATGGTAGAGAGGAAAGAGTCCTTCCTAAGTGATCTAAGATCACTGGCCATTTTCTTCCCTTGAGGCAATGGCCAAATCTGGTTATAAGACTTTACTAAGGGAAACAGAAACCAGCAAGACTTCTAAAAACTGTGTGAGCAAGCATGATGGACTGGAATCTGGAGGAGCCCCAGACGTAAGGCCAAATTTCCCTAGAATGTCAGCTTTAGGTTTCTGGTAGATAACCCCTTTACTAGTAGAAAGATGTTTGAATCTATCATGTGTTCTTTAGCCAGCTGTGTCAATGTGATCCTCACTCAGCCTCATGGATTTATCCACTGTTAATTCATTGTTCCATGAATTTTTTTTTTTTTTTATCAGAAATAGCAGAATATCCTGACTTTCCCTACCACCGTGATGTTTGATGGCTTAGCAGTGGTAACATTTTTGTGTGATTTTTTGAGCTTAGAACAAGATTGAGATTTTTCTAAGAAAACTACCCTTAACCACCATCATGGAACACTGAATGACTTTGGAAATTAGCTCTTGCTGCAGACTTGGTAATATTTTTATAATGAATCCAATCTAAAATTACAAGGCAAAACAGAACCTGTATGTAGAATTTATATTATGATAAAGTCATTTCAATGGCAACTAACATTGTCTGAATCACTAGTAATAGTAAGCTGCTTTATATACTTCCCGTGCTGCCAAAGCTAAAAACACAAGGTGTCCATTCCCATGCATATTTGCAGTGAATGTATTTTCTGAGCTTAAACTATACTTCCAGGAGCATTTTTTGGACCTTGAAACAAGTGCAAAGGAAATTTCTATATTTCAAAGTTATTTAACTGTGCAGTGGAGGCATGTCCATCTAACCTTCATGGAAGTGATTAATCTGCATTATAATGATGTGCTAAAAGGCAAATATCGAGAAGAATCTAATGGAATTCTATAAATGCCTTCCAAGCAATAAATATGCACAATTAAAAGCACATGCTTATGGATTCAGATCAGTATTGCCAGCACCTATCTGTGAAAGACATTTTTTTAAATTGAAGTATAGTTGATTTACATATTTTGTTGGTTTCAGGTATACAGCAAAATGATTCAGTTTTAAAATTCTTTTCCATTATACGTTATTACAAGATATTGAATATAATTCCCTGTGCTATACAGCAAATCCTTATTGTTTATCTATTTTATATATGGTAGTGTGTATCTATTAATCATATATTCCTAATTTTTCCCTCCCTGCCCCTTTCCCCTTTGGTAACCGTAAGTTTGTTTTCTATGTCTGTGAGTCTGTTTCTGTTCTGTACTATTTTTTAGATTCCACATATAAGTGATATCATATAATATTTGTCTTAAAGACATTTTCGAAACTGCAATGGGGGGAAGTCTCATTACACATCACCATTAACAGATGAACATTTGCAACCACTTTAAACTACCTGAACCCCAATTAAGCAAAATGTTATCCCCTAAATAAGAGTTTCATTCTTTTTTTCAGGAGACCTGTATTACAAAAAACTGTGGGCAATTATTATTACTGTCTTCTGAATTTCATCAATAAAAATTTGTGAAAATTTGTTTTCTTTCTTGTTATTTTAGTACCTATATAATATGCTTGATTTTGTCTTTTGGCCCACAAAGTCTAAAATATTTACTGTCAGGCCCTTTGCAGAAAAAGTTTGTTAATTCCTACTCTACAGCAGATAAAAAGAGTGAAAAAGAACTAAAGACAAACACATGGATGAATCTCACAAATATAATAAGAACTGAAAGAAGCCAAATCCAAAAAAAAAAAATCTACACTATGAGTCTATTTATATAAAATTCAAAATCAGCACTAAACTGTGTGTTGAGGAATGTACACTTAGGTAATGATATAAAGAAAAGCAAGGAACTGATTACTGTAAAAATCAAATAAAAATCAGAATAGTGATTTCTTTTAGAGGGTAAGAAGAGGGTTGTGATTGGAACAAAGTGAGAGCTTATGGGATTTTTTGCTCTGGGTGGTATTTACAGAGATGAGTAGTACACATTAATTCATTAAGCTGTACAATGATTTTTTTTGTACTTTCCTTTGTGTGTCATATTCTGTAGTTAAAAGTTAGAAGTACCTATGTAGATATATGAACATGTACATACATGCATTATGCTTGCAATATACACAGAATAATCCTAGAAAGATCAATGTGAACTTGGTAAGTAGTTGTTGTTGGCATGGAAACTGAGGACTGTAGGTCAGACTGGGGGGAAAGAGGCTTACTTTCCACATGTTTCTGTCCTTTTGTAGTTTGAATTTTTTTTTACTATATACACATATTAATTTTTAAGTTATACCAGTTAATGTAAAGTCTTTTTTCAAGTTGTAGAATTTGGAAACTGAGACTAACTGAGGTGAGTTAGGAAACGTTTGGATCATGGGGCCTGTAAGCGGCAGAGCTGGGATATGTCTGGGGCTGTGTGACTTCAAAACCAGGACTCTGTGTAATTGTATCACAGTAATCTTTTGGATGTATTGATCTGATAATGATTGTTTCTAAAAAGATGACATAATCATAAATATTTGTGTTGTTTTTTACAGACTATGATCTTTTTAAAAAGAAGCTATACAAATCATCATAGAGCATTCCAGTCCTCTGTGCTTCTCCTAAGATGTGCAGCTCTTATGGGCTTGTCAATATGTGATGCATGAGAAAACAGATTTATTTTCTTTAAACTCCCAATAATTTAAAATGATTTTCAGTAATAATAATCAAATGAAGGAGCCTTATTCTCTTTGGTGTTTCCCAGAGGTCTACTTCAAAAGAAAATTTTCTCATGTCTCATTTCAACATTTCGTTAACTATGAAGATATGCCAGCTCGTTGAATCAAATAAAAAATGTTACTGGATATTTAAGTGGTTTTGGTTTGCTATTCATAGTGCATTGGCATTATCTGTTAAGACTGAAAATATGCAATCCCCATGACCCAGCATTTCATTCTCACAACATTTCATTCTCTGGAAGAAATGCATGAGTATGTACACCAACAGGCATGACAAGAATGCTGTAGCAGTACTATTCATGCTGGCCCCAAATGTCTATCTACATAGGAATAGAAAAGTAAACCTTGGTATATCCATACAATGGCACATCAAGTCACCACTGAGCTTTAGCTCTGAGAAGTATATTCATGCAACACCCATGGAGAGGGTGCTGCTGGAGAGCAATTTGCCCATCCTACATGTTGACAAGTGTCAGGGCTGAATGGATCTCTCCTCATTTAAAGATCAGTAAATAGGAAAAACAATAAATAAACAAAAGCATCCACAACAAATCAACATAGGACCCATGTAAAGAACTTATAAAAGAAAATGTATGTTATCGGAAAACAATAAAAGCATATCTTAGGAAATATCTTACTGTAATAGGGAAGAGCTAGTTCTGACTCCATGTTGGATCTGTTTCTTTTACTTTAACCTTTGCTTTTCATTGCTTTTGTTACTAGAGTCACTGTCTGTAACTGTAAGCTTAATGGCCTGCCACAGGGAACCCTGCTCCTCTGCCTGTTAAACTACAGTGCCTTTGTTCAGCTCACAGAGAGACATTCTGACCCTGTCCACCTGTGAATGGCTGCAGAAAAGAAGAAATTAACACATCCCCTCCTCAATGCGGCCAAGCAAGGAGATATTTTGCAAGATAAATGGCCTTTTTACTTTACTTCCTCACCTCCTCCCCCTCTCTGTTCTATAAAAGAAACTGGCATCGAGACGTGGATAAGATGGTTATGGTGAGTCTTTAGTCTGTTATCTTCTTGGCCTGCTGGCTTTCAGAATAAAGTCACTATTCCTTGTCTCAACACCTCATCTCCTGATTTATTGGCCTGTCGCGCAGTGAGCAGAGTGAGCTTGGACTCGGTAACAAATTTGGCTTAGCCAGCCAGGAGCCTTGCTGATCGTGGCTAGCGGAGCAAGGCCCTAGCAGCTGCCAGGACCATTTGTCCTGTGGATCTTCCCTTCAGAACTCCCTGAAGTGGCACCAGCTACCCCAGCACTTGGCAGTTGGTGCAAGGAACTGAAAAACTTCTATGAGTCGACAGACTCAATTCTGGAGGGTAAGTTGCTCAGGTGTGCACACCGGGACCATATTCCCCCCTCAATTTGGGCTTTTCCTTTATAAGACAAGCTAATTTGTTTGGTTGGGGTACCCTGTTGGAGAAGGGAATTGTTGGACTCTACCTGATTTGGGAACGGGTTCATTGGTTTTGGTTTTGTGTGCGTCAGTGTTGGAATTTGTGCTTTTTGTGTTGGAATTTGTTTGCATCTTTTGTGTTTTGGTGTCATCAAACTTATGAAAATGGGAAATAACTCCAACTATCCTGAAGAAGAGCCCTTTGGGGGTGTATATTAAATAAATGGGCAAAACATAGATGTGAACCTATGACTAAGAGAGACATGATATACTATTGTAATAGGGTGTGGACCCAATGTATTTAAGTTCAGAAGAGCAATGGCCCCTGAATGACTCACTCAATTATTACACGATCTCACAATTAGAAGTGTTTTGCAAAAGGGCAAAGAAAAGAGATGAGATTCCATATGTAGGAGCATTTATGCTACTGCATCAGGAGGAAAAGGAGTCAGAGGGCTGCCACCTTATGGTGTAGTGGTCTGAAAGGAAACCCAAGGGGAAACCTGTTCTACAAGAAGAGGGAGAAAATGAGAGTGGGGACATGTTACTTCAAAATCTAAAGCCCCTCCAGCCTATCCAGCTCCCCCACTGGCCGAGCAGGCTGCACCGGCAGTTGTTTCAACTGCCCCCCATGCCACCAACATATTCACTCCTTTCACCATCTCCTGTTTCTCCTACCCATGGGGATCGAATAGAAGTTTCTATATTAACCCCTGGAGCATAGGGACGTAGTTTAGTATTACCATCTAAGACCCGACAGGGCACCCAATTTGGACTGGGAGCCACTTCCACAGCAGGGCAATTTCCCTTGCACTGATATCCTGTAAGAGGCCAGGAGACTCCTTTAGACTTGAGGCATCTGATTCTAATTTCCCCACAGGAGCCCTGGGTAACTCTGACAGTAGGGAACAAGTTGATTGACTTTCTAATAGATACAGTGCCACATATTATGTGGTAAACACCAAGGTGGCACAGAAAACATCTCAGTCTATCCCGGTCACAGGAATTTCTGGAGAAGTACAAAACCATTCATTCTTACAACCTCTTAGAATGCCAACTAGGGAACCTCACCCTGAAACACAGCTTCTTATATATGCCAGAGTATCCAACCCCCCTTTTTTGGGACAAGTCTTCTTTGTAAATTAAATGCTCAAGTAACTTTTTCACCAGAACAGCTTGACATCAGGGCCCCACCAGAGCACTCTTTAAGCCTACAAATGGCACTCATGGAAACCCCAGAGAAGGAAACAAAGTCATCCTAGGAGAAACTTGCCTGTATCTTTGAGATTCAAATGTCCTATCTGGTTTTCTCAAGAACTCTCATCTCTGCCATCTTTTTGAAATGCAAATTTTGAAAAGAGGGTAAAGTAATTTAGAACTTGACTTGTTTTCCCTAACTGTAAGGAAAAAGGGTTGAGCCATTTAGACAAGTGAGCTTGATTTGTTCCATCTGCCAGAAACCCAATTTTAATCCAACCTCTTTTGTAAACTGATGGATTTTGCATTGCTGTACCTGACTCAGGGCTGAAATTCTGAAAGGAGAACTATGAGGTCTCTCTGGTTGTTTGTGTTTATGTCTTTGTCTTTGGATAACATTGCTGAGGTTAATCTGTAAATGAGCTCTATTTAATTGGCTTAAAGAAAAGTAAGCGCTTACAAACTAAACAATTCTAAATACAAGAGAAATTAAGCTAAATGAGTTTCAGGTTCTCTTGAACTGGGAAATATTTAGTATTAAATTAATACCTCGGGGGCTTCCCTGGTGGCGCAGTGGTTGAGTGCTAATGCAGGGAACACGGGTTCGAGCCCTGGTCTGGGAGGATACCAAATGCCATGGAGCAACTAGGCCCGTGAGCCACAACTACTGAGCCTGCACGTCTGGAGCCTGTGCTCCGCAACAAGAGAGGCTGCGATAGTGAGAGGCCCACGCACCGCGATGAAGAGTGGCCCCCGCTTGCCACAACTAGAGAAAGTCCTCGCACAGAAACGAAGACCCAACACAGAAAAAATAAATTAATTAATTAATAAACTCCTACCCCCAACATCTTCTTTAAAAAAAAATTAATACCTGGTATTAATGTTTAAGTTTGTTGATCTAATTAATATAGACATGTCTTTAGAGTCATCAACATTAAGTATAATACTTTTTTTTTTTTTGCGGTACGCGGGCCTCTCACTGTTGTGGCCTCTCCCGTTGCAGAGCACAGGCTCGGGACGCGCAGTCTCAGCGGCCATGGCTCACGGGCCTAGCCGCTCCGCGGCATGTGGGATCTTCCCGGACCAGGGCACGAACCCGTGTCCCCTGCATCGGCAGGCGGACTCTCAACCACTGTGCCACCAGAGAAGCCCCAAGTATAATACTTTTACTGCACCTAGGTTTAATAGAAGTTAAATAAAACCTTGTTATATCTGTTGCAAACTTGTCAGCATGAAAAATAACTTGACATGATGAAATTTTAAAGTAAATGTAAATAAGAGCTTCTAGGTAAACTCTATAGGAATAATTACATTCTGAAAATTATCTAAAATAGCTTCTCCAGATTTTGGTAACTATTACTTGCCTCTTGGTTTTCACCAGAAATTAAGCTTTTTGAGAGTCGGGATTCTAATTTAAATATGTAATTAAAGCTACTGAAAATAATAAAACATTTCATTATACAGGAGGAAAGAGCAAAATATGTTTTGAGTAAAAGGAGTTTTATGCATGGTCAGGCTGAGATTAAACTTAACTGAGTAAATGAATTTTTAAAAGCTGGTGCAAATCTTGAATCTGGCTTTTCTGTTAACAGGACAAGTTTTCTTAAAATGTCGAACTGCCTTTGATAACAGATTCTTAAGTTTCTTTACCTTTTAAGTGATCAGTTCTGTATTTACCTTTAGAATCTTTTATTGTTACTTTGGTTAATGAATAACAATTGTTTCACAGTGACCTGTGATCCTATCTGACTGAGTGTTCTAGACTCTCTAGTTTTTTGACAAAACTTCCTAAATCAAATTCTAATGAAGTCCTTTTGGACTCTAGCTAACTTTGGGATTCTTCAAAGGGCTCCTGAAGCATCCCAAAGCAAGATAGGTTCATTTGGTATGTTAAATTACACGGGAAGTATTTTCAAATGAGTAATACATCTTCTTAGGTTATACTGTATGGTAAATGTTACTAATATAGACATTCTAGAGATTATATAAAGTTTCTGAAATTTGATATGTCCTGGTATAATGTTATAATTTTAATTGTTATCTTAAAATATTGTATGTCACAACAACTTGGATAAACTTGTCAAGAAGAATTGTAATCAGATCTTTAACCTTGCCTTTTTAAGACCTTCATCATTCATAGGCAGCTAAGGTAATACTTTGCAAAACTGCCATATCTTCAAGGAGATTCATAAAAAAGAAACTTTTGAACAAATATAAGTTTCTGATAGCCTTTAGATAATACCACTGGAATGGGTAACAAATGACAAAACTAATGGGAAACCTGATTACTTCATCCAGATAAACAGGAATTAATTACATGGGACTGAACGAACTGATGAATATGGTTTATGACTTTGGGAAATATACTAGCTTTAATCTTTGTTTTCCAGAAAAACCTTTTCTCTTATGCTATGACCTAAGACAAGTTGATAAAGTATGTCTTTGTGAACAAAGATGAAACATTTATCTTTTTCTCTCTACTTGATCCTGCCAGAGTTTGGCCTCTCCAGCTGGCTCTCCTGTGGACTTGATATTTTACTGCAGCTGGATTACAACTAGTTATGCTAATCATTGCTTTAATTTGTTCTTTGTTTCCAAACTGTTTGTGCTTTGTGTCTCCCTGCTGCCCTATAACTTTGTCCGTGTTACTAGCTGCATTACTTTTATCCTGTCTATTTTATAAGATTGTTGTCTATTACAATACCTAGTGTGTAACTAGGCCTCCAACAAAATAGATGATGGTTAACATCTTGAGGAAATAGATCACATTTATAACATAAAATAATTGTAATAGTGTGATTCTAGGTATGGGAAGAAGCAACAAGGGAAAATGTCTCCTGGATCATAATTAGAGAGAGGATCCAGAGAATCTAATTATCAGTAGGGCCTAATCCAAAAATTAGCACCTGGAGTGGCATATCAAGAATTTTTGCCTGATCTAGGATGAGCCTCCTAGCGCCGTGGGACAAATTTGATCATGAAATGTCTCCAAAACGTTGGTCAAATTCCTGACCAAGAGGGGAGGATTTGAGAAATGGAATATTTCCTGCCACATCAGTCATCGGGGATTGCAGCTCTCCAATGTGAGCTGGTGAACCCTGAGGGAACTCAGGAAGGAAAAGAATACCTGCCATGTAGCAGCCATCAGACTGCAGCCACTCCCTATGGTGAGCCCTAAGGAAACTCAGGATGTGAAAAAGCAGGATACAGGCCCCAGATAGCTGTGGTGCCTATCAAAGGAATGATTTCAGTGAGCCCAGACTCTTGCATCTTCCCATACACAGAAAAGCGCAAATTCCTTAACTTGAGATGTTGCCTCCCGGGTTTGAACTCCTAAAAAAATTCCCGCTGAATAAAACATAACTCTCAACTTTTAGGTTGTGAATATTTTTTAAGTCTCTAGGTGTAAAGCAGACACTTTCCAAAGAGGAACAAAAGAAGACAAATCTCAACATTTGGAACACTGGCACCGCCGGTGGACACTCCCAGAAAGATCCATCTGATGAAGCAGTTAGGATGGTCATCACCCCTTTTCCCATAATACTGTGGAATGGACACAGACAGTGGGGAACTGTAACAGGAAAGAGCCAATTTTGACTCCATGCTGGATCTGTTTCTTTGACTTTAACCTTTGCTTTTTGTAACTTTTGTTATAATCATACATAATGGTCCCTCTGCCTGAATGTTAAACTAAAGTGCCTTTGTTCAGCTCACTGGGAGACAATCTGACCCTGCCCACCTGTGAATGACTGCAGAAAAGAAGAAATTAATACATCCCCTCCCCGATGCTGGCCAAGCCAGGCAAAACTAATGGCCTTTTTACTTTGCTTCCTCACCTCCTCCCCCTCTCTGTTCTATAAAAGAAACTGGCATCCAGACCCCCATAAGATGGTTATTTTGAGACTTTAGTCTGCCATCTTCTCCATCTGCCAGCTTTGCTTTCCGAATAAAGTAACTATTCCATGCCTCAACACCTCGTCTCCTGATTTACTGGCCTGTCGTGTGGCGGGCAGAGTGAGCTTGGACGTGGTAACAACATTACTATAGGAAACAACCTTTAGAAACTGCTTGGTGTTTTTAATAAGAGGCAAAAAGAAATGGCCTCTTAGAAAACTGAAGCAGGGAATCATAAGAACAGACAGAGGTTAGCCCTGGATGACCAATCCTACAAGCAGTTGGAATTCTTAGACGAAACAAAAACAAATAAAATAGAAACAATAATCAAAGTTATAACAAAAAATTTCCTGAGCTGAAAAAATACCTGATCATACAAACTTGAAAGGTTTTACCTTATCCTAGGAAAACTAGGATTGGGGCAACGTTTTTGGTTTTTTGTTTTGTTTGCCTTGAGGATCACGGATCGACAGAAAAGTACTGCACAAGTAAGAGGCAACTGAATTTTATTTTGTTCCTTTAAAATTGCTAACCTTAACTAGGTAGAGGTTATATTATTCACTTGTGAAATGGAAAATCGGGAACACAAAATGAGAAGACATGAGTTAGGGATGATGGGGTGGTGGGAGGTGGGAGGAAGGGAACAGCAGGGAACAGGAGACTTTTTCTGTAAAGAGCCAGATAGTAACCATTTTAGACTTTGCAGGGAAGATGGTCTCTGTTGCAACTACTCAACTCTGCCATTTTAGGGTGAAAGCAGCAATGGATAACACATAAATGAATGAATGTGGCTGTGTTCCAAAAAAACTTCAGGTACAAAAACTGGTAGCAGGCCAGATTTGGTCCATGGGCCATAGTTTGCCCACCCCTCCTATAAAGCAGTGAACTAAAGTTAAAATCAATACCTACTTTAATAAAGGATTTAAAGCAGCTTCTAATAAAGAACATATAATGAAACTTACAATAGAATATTTTCTAAAAAATCTTTATCCTTGTATCGTCTCCTAAAA